CATACCATAAACTAATCAAAGAGCACAAGAAGGATAACGAATGATCAAGTGGTGGTAGCAACTTGCAAAATGACATTTCCTCATGATGTATGTATGGGTCATATATGTGCAAATGAATGCTAGAGCTTTTAAAATGTACTCAATTTTCAAAACCAGAATATTTAACACAAAGTTAAGTTTTATGGTACCAGTTAAGGCCACATTACAATCTTTGCTTGTGCTTATATGATTTTTCAGCAAAAGACATTTCAGCACATGTTTAAATCTCATTAAGATCTCAAGAATGAGAGCCTTCTGGTTTGCTGAGCCATGGTATGAACAAACAGCTGAACTCAAAGGATCTTCAGAATAACTGCAGTGCCAAGGCAGCAGAGTGGGGACTGAGAGAAGGTGAAATACGCTATCTCCACTATTCAGGAAGATTTCTCTCGCACTGTGGTGAATTTAGTAGGAAATGAAATAATGTACAAGATTTGATGTTATTTCTTCCCTTTAAAATTGCTGTTAGAAGAGACACCAAAGTTTCAGAGGATCTCTCACTAATTCAGTACAGTATGAATATTGCAACAAGTGTAGATCTAAGTGCAGGGACACATGTAAGAGTTTATCAAAGAAAAGCCACATGTCCTCCTAGCCAACACGATGAGAGACAAAAGTACTGTAGATGCTCTCATTGTAGAAAATACAGACAACTCCACTCATTTATTAAAATCTAACCCTGGCCTTGCTCCAAAATCCATGTTTGATGCCACAAAGCAGGAAGACTAGCAAGGAATCCCTCTTGGCTGACGATCATCTAGCTTAGTATGTTATTCCACAGGATGAGATACTGCTGAGAAGACACACAAAAGTTTCATGAACAAACCCAATCATGCAAGAATCACTTTGTATCTTTTCCTTTCTTTCTGCTCTCCACTCTTCCTCTTTTCCAATGCTACAGCACAAGAGCAATCCAGCTACTGGTGAGGTCTTACTGTTTTTCAGTTCTGCTCAATAAATGGACTGAGAGCTGACACTATGGCTCCCGACCTTAGTCAAGTCCAACAGTGACTTTCCTGCCATTGCAACTCAGCCAGCACTGTGTGGTTAATTCATGGGGTAAGGATTCCCCACTTTACATCCAAGAGCCAACCAACATCTGCCATAAATCCTACACTTGCTCACATAGTTGCTTAAAGCCACCTGAGTAATTCAGCAACTATTTCCACTTCCTATCCACCCACACATTTTTTTAAAGCATGTAGTCCACTGTTTACTACAATACGGCTTTTTAAGACCTATGTACCTTGATATTTGCAGCAGGGAGTATACAGGTGCCAATTCTAGCTCTTGAGGTTTCTTGAGATGAAGAAGTCCTTTTGCTTTTCTTTAACTGGCTAAATCCTCACTGGTCATGATTTTTTTGTTTTGTCTGCTCTTAATTTTTTTTTTAAACAAAAACAGTTATATTGTTGTCATGAACTCTGATTAGACAGCCAATCTAATAGACTGAATTTTGCATTTTAGTCTCAAAAGACTGCATAATATTATTAGTACAATTTGTTGAAAGTAAGTGATCTTCAGTTTTCAATGGGCTCATATCAAATGAAAAGAGATATTAACTTATGTAAACATCTGCCCTAAGTTACCATTTTCAAATGATGACCTTATGAGACTGGATAAAGAAACAGCCATTAACATAAACTGGTAGACTGCCATGAAACCAAAGGAGAAAGATAATGAGCTATCAAGCAGATTAGCATGAACTAAAACTGAAACAAACAACCCACACATTAAAAAAAAAAAAAGTAATAAACCAGCCTCCAGTCTTCAGTATTTACTGCACATGTAATGTCAGGTTGTTATTTTCACTGACATCTTTCTGAGCCTCTGCACATTGCCGTACCCTCCATTAGAAACAGCACTGTTGGAACAGAAATAGTTTCATTTTTAGCTCTGTCTCCGCTGAAAGTTTTTTTTTAATTTTTTTTCAACTCCAAATTCATCTTTGGGGGAACCATATCCAATATATGACTGCTGAACCATACATAGTGGTATTACTGTAATAAATAATTATAATAATTAATTTAAAAGCAAAGCAATATGATGACTAATTTTTAAAGGAGAGTTTGCTTGAGTTCTTACACATATAGTGCATGTTCACTGCACAGTTTACTCCTCCTGTACTTTTGAACTACATGTGGATGGTGCTCCTTCATTTTCTCTGGACACCAGTTACTGGCATTATTCCGTAGCCGAGAAGCAACTTTTCCTAAATACCTTCAGCAAATTTTATTCTCTTCTTCCATCCTTAGAGGACCTGTCTAAACTTGGCCATTATGACTGCAATTTCATCTCCTTTGTACTTTTTCTGTATTCAAGCCATGCAACTGATAATTAAAGCAGAATGAATCAAGATGGGGAGTCACCATCATAACAAATAACTAAGCACTAGCAATGAGAGAAACCCAAGTTAATGAACCAGGGATAATGAAGGATGTTTTTAACTGTATTTGTTCATCTTCTCACTGTAGCTCCTCTATAACCTCTGCCACTGAACTCTCACTTTTGAGCTCTTCATTTCCTTCTCAGTTCCATATTTCCAACTTGCTCAAATGTCATTTCCTGAAACAGCTGCCTGTGTGCCTGCCTCTCTTTTTCAGAAAAGTGCTGTTCCTCCTGCAAGAATAAAAGTCTTACTATCCTCTTAACCACAAAATGAACTGTATCATCAAATGTGTATCATCAAATCCTCTGGCTGCCATCTGTTTTCCTAGTGGATTTTAAGACATTAATTATCTTACTATGAAAAAACTTTCAACATGTTCATGGCTTGACAACATTGTGCGTGTTTTAAAGACTGTTATTCTGTCACTCTGTTTCTGGTTTAAACCTATGGTACAGTCTATATTCCATTTCCTCATGATCAGACCTTCCAGAACATTGGACACTTGTTCCTGTCACAGTGAGGGGGAAAAAATTATCCTCTTAGATTTTTCCTCTTTAGGGAAAGACCTTGTCTATGAAATGCATTGATCTTTTATGCTACATAACAGATACTCTTACAAACACCAGGAAGAAAACCTCTATTGAAAAGGTGAGCTCATACAGTTCTCTGATCTGAATCCTTCTCTTTCTGCAAGGAGGGAGAGATCCACATATTTCTGCAGTGTAATTTTTCCTTTTTCTGCTTCCCACAAGCAAGAATGGATTTTTCCAATCCATGATAAAAGGCAACATAGCAATGCAAAAATATATCCATTTGATCCTGTGTTCTCAATCACATTTACATACACATGTCTGTAACACTGATTTCTCTCAAGCACTCCTGCAGTATGAGAGCACCTCTCATTTGAGGCATTCATGCTCAGACCCAATTAAGTGCCTGCCTGTATAATAAATTGCAAGGTATTACATGCACAAAAACGAAACTTCATTTTATCTAGAAAAGGACAAATTTCTGAGCTGTAAATCACAAGGTACTGACATTTGAGAAGCTGCTCCATCTATACGTGATTTATAGGTATAGGTGGCAAACTGTTCTGGTGCTAAAAATATTATCATGTATTTTACCTTCCCTGTCATTTAATTTACTGTCACTTCATCATCCCAGTGTTAGTCTGGTGCTACCAGTTTGCCTTTGATGGTCTGTATCAATATGAGTGAAAAATGCAAGTTGAAATCCCCAAACATATTTGATGTCATGAATGAAGTGATCAAAGTAAAACAGTCTGAAAGGAGTGAAACTCTTCCCCCACACAACTTCATAAAAAAGAGAACTATGAAGTATGAACATTGGAGTTTCAGAAATGTATCATCATGTTCAGACTAGCAGAGAATGCATGGACTTTTTTTTCCTACCTTCATTTTTAAATCCTAACCATAAAAAACTTAATGTAAGCAACACTACATACTGTAAATAGGACTCAAAGTCCTACCAGGAACATATTTATATATATATCTTGTCTAGATTACTTCAGAAAAGTTACCGTGCAACTTGAAAAATGACAATTAGGCAGTCTCCTAAACTGGTTTTCAGAGATGGCAAACTAACAGCTATTTATCATTTCCTTTTTTTCTTTTATACCTAGAAATTTTTATTGCAACTTTAAGCCGCAGTTCCAACTTTTTCAGCTCAACTCTCCACAATTAAATACACTTTTCTACAATGCATGTATTTGATTGACACAAACAGAGCAGGACACCATTTGCCTAACTGCTTCTGATTACCAAAATCCTTCCAGGAATTGCTTCCATGGTGGATGTTCCTGTGACAAAGTGTTTCTAGAGCCTTATGCAACCTTAACTCAAATCCTTTTACATTTTCTTCACTATTTCTCTAGCACTGGAGCAGCCTCACATACTTCAGGGTAAGCAAAACTTCTGCTTGGTCCCCATGCTATTTCATAAGACCAAGCAGATCTGTAGATGCATGCCTCAAGTATTAAACAATTACCATGAATAATAAAATTCACTCTACAGCACCACATAAGCCTCTAACCCCTACTTTAGTCTCACTTTAGTGACATGCTTGGACCCCTTTTTTAAACACTGCACAATGATTAAATAGCCAAAGAGAAAACAGTGCCATTAAGTAATTTAGCGCTGTTGACCATTACTTCACCCAAACAATTATCTATTAATGTATGAGCACATGGGCTATACATCAATTACACCAGATTTTCTGAACTGTCTTCTCATACGCCCAAATATCCTTTTTTACAATAGAATATCTTAACGTCTTATTTCAAGAAATAAGGTTATTTGAAATTTGTTTTTTTTTAATGTTAAATAGTTCCTGATGTATATTGTTTCTAAATAAAATGGCAATTTCTAATAATTTAAACCTTGTTTTTGAAGTGTCATTTGAGAGAAATGGAAAGAAAGGCAAATTTTCATTTCACTAATACTGGTGAAAATGCAAAATAAGAAAGATAATAAATTGCACTTACACTAGCATAATCAAGATCAATATTTGTCATGTGGTAGTAATGTAATAAGATATATCAAATTCAACTTACCTACCAGATCAGATGTCCTTGAGCTACAGTTCCACCTCAATCCAAAGAAAACTTGACCTGTTGAATATGAAGCAACACATTTTCACTCATGATAAAGTTTTGCCCTCTTTAGAACAGGCTAACAAACCATGGATTTCTGTGGGGAATGATGAAAAGCAATTTAACACCACAGATGATTTAGGATCCCAAAACTTTCTTTTCACTTTCTGTTACAATTTGGATATGAACAGATAACTTGAATTTCCCAATCTGTGATTTCTCTCATTTTAATATTTACACTGTGCTCACTGGGGTCCAGCATTTGGCTCTAAGAAGTATCTCAGAAAGATGTACAAAATTAAAATTGGTATGCACAAATTCTTATGATGCCCTTTGAATAAATCTCCAAAGACCAGAAAACAAGACACATTTTTCTCCCTTTACTTCCACTTTTTATCTTTGCTCCATTCTACATACTTTCTCTCTCAGAGAAAAACCAAAAGAAGGGAGTGGAAAAGGGAAATAGAAAGAGACAATAAGGACTGTCAGGGAGACGAGGGGGCTTTTTTCTGCCAACAGTACCATTATATCCATTGCATTTTTATAAAATCAGCTCTAAAAGTCATTGCTGTCAAGTATTTAGTCCTCATATTTAGTCTTCTCATATATTCTATGTTCAAGCCTAAGATCTTGAACAATTTTGCTAAAATTTCTTTAGCTATAAAGCAAGACAAACAAGACTTCCTATCAGCCTGCATTGGCTAGAAAGGAAGCAGAAATTAGAGGTGTCCAACACTCATAAATATATGCAGAACATATTTATAGTGCTAATATTCTTGAAAAGAAAACAGCTTCAACTCTCTACTAGCTTGACAGTAATATAACATGAGCTTGAGATGCCACAATGCACAATTCTCCATCTTTTGGTGCACAGAAATCTAAGTCCTCAAGTAAAGAAAAAAACATGAATCCACCATTGCTGATTTATACTGTTTCACTGACTCCACTTAAGCAGCACAAGAAATCTTGTTTCAGAGTAGGCTATGAAAAGATACACAAGCCAGGATCTCTTAACCTATGACATCTGATATTGTTTTTTTAAGCAATATCTATTAATGTTGGCCTTCCTGTTTTTCTGTCGGTGATACAGATGCAGGAAACCCGACTGCATCAGAATGGGATCAGTAAGCAAAAGCTTAATCCCATTTCTTCTCAACTGAGTGGCAGAACTTCCATTAACTTGATAGAGAGTTATAGCAGTGACTGAAGGGTAAAAGGTATCCTCCAGGCCCCCTTTTCTTGCCTTGGGCTAGAATCATATCCATCAACACTTTAGGATACAAGAGGGAGGAAACAAATTTAAAAATGTAGTTGTTTGGGAGAGTTGAGACAGGGCATTATTTCCTTTTTTTTTTTTTTGGTTTTTTTTTTGTTTGTTTGTTTTTTTGTGGTGAGTCATGTTTGCACATAGCTAAGTGCAAACAAAAAATTAAAATCTAACACTTAGGTGCTGCAAGGTTCAAACCAGCAGTCTGGCTTTATAATGTATCAGGAAATTTCCTCAGGAATAATTCTGTCAGGGCATACTTGGATGGTATGCAGAGGAAAGAGACGCAGACCATCAACTTTCTGCTATTGCCTGCAAGCAAACTGATTTGTCACACCTTGTTACATCTTCATGTGGGAGAAGAGTTACACATTCCTTTGCGCTGATTTGCAGCACTTGTTTGCTATTAGAACAGTTTTCTATGGAACATTTAAATAATTGAAAGAGATGAGCTTAAACCAGTTGGACAACACTCTGCAGTTCAGATTAAATGTATCCACTGCTTTCAAACGAACAACCCAAAGCTCATTCTCCACCCCCACCCCTGTGAATCACACCTCGTTTTGCTTTACATTTCCTGTGCCATGAATATCTTTGAACTAATATTTTCATTAGTTCCTCGGAAGCAGCCAAACCTCTGTCTTTGAAACTATTAGGAAATGAAACCAGCTCCTTTAGTCCTCTGCTGATCTCAGAAGGGTCTCTCTTTACATTTCCCTGAAGGTGCCCAAGTCCTGTGGGTGGTCCAGGCACCTGAGCAGGCTCTGCCATAGGAAGAGCCATGACTGAGAAGGGCTTTCACAGCCTCTTTCTATGAGGATCTGAAAGCTTTTTAAAAGTGAGTGGCAGGATAAACACTGGCATATCTATCTCATCTTTATAATATATTTGCTAAAGTCTGAAGGAAAAAAAAAATTATGCTGTAAGATCCATAATTTCTTTGAGACTATTAGTCTTTATATTTTAAATATATAGTGTATTTCTCTTTATCTGCATTTTTGTTTAGAGGAAAATTTATGAATCAAAATCGGTGTAATGGAAATATATTAGCAACATATTCAGTCATTGATACATATGTTTATCTAGATTTAAAGAAATTAGTTTGAAGATTCACCGGGTTTAATACACAGTGTTTTTCTTCTTTATATTTCAAATGTATTTCCTTATATACAGAACTGAAAGGATTTCTTTTTTGCATCAAGATGGAGTTCATGTCTCAATTTTCTCTTTGCTTCCTTCTTTCAAAAGACCATCACCTTTCAGTGCACAAAACACAGTTATGCAATACTAATGATGGAAAAGATCTGTGAGTGAAGCCTGTTAGTTGTGCTCTGTGCTGTTTGTCTGCAATATGGCTGTTTACAATGGGGAATATTTTATCTTTGGACTAACCCATGCAGAGTAGGTAATGCACTATATGAAAGCTGATACAAATACAATTGGAAAAATGTGCAAGTCACACAAACCAATATCCAATTTCTTAAAAGAGTTAAAGCTTCAAAAAAGTGTAATTTTCTCAGTGAACAAACTATTTGGCATGGAGTGTAATTCTGTTTTCCTCTTAGAGTTGTTTTACAGTTACCATATATATGTTGTTATGTATTGTTTAATTATCCCTTAAGTAACAATTTAAAGACCCTCAGCTCTAAGTTATTACCCCCTAATGTCTGAGGCAAGATATTAATTTATTCTTTCAAGTATGGGAAAGAACAGCAGCTCAGGTATCACAGTGCCTCTAAAGACAAAGGCTTGTTTAGCTACTGCTTTTTCCCTGTGCAGAACTTCCCAATGAGCCAGCCATGATGGGATAAGCACAGCAAAACTCCATGTCCTGAAAAATAATCTGCTCACCTTCATAGGAAGGATGCACAGACAGCAAAAGTCATGCAAGACAAAGACAATGTGGGATCCTGGTGGTGGAGATTGCTGTGTCTGTGGGTCCCAAGGAACCAGGCATCTTGGGAAGGTGTTGCTAACACAAATTTTAAGAGAAATACCATGATGCTTCTTCTCTTTTCTGCTATCCATAGGGTGATAAAACCCTGTGATATAGCAATTCCTTTCATAGCTGTAGTACATCAGGAAAGAGTACGTCAAAGTCAAAACATATGTGGAAAGATGAATAGCAATTCCTCTCATAGCTGTAGTACATCAGGAAAGAGTACGTTAAGTCAAAACACGTGTGGAAAGATGCGCTCTTGATTTGGGGTCTAAATTCAGTATTTTACAAATCATAGAAGACTGCACACTATACTATAGTGATTTACCAAGATAAATTTTCATATTGCACTGTTTTCTAGCCATGAAATTCTGTAAAGCACTAGATAAGGATTGCTTCTTTCATCCAGAGCACCAGGAGACCACTGGCAATTTATCTGAGAGGACTCAAGATAGAAACAAAAAAGGCAATGTTAATTAACACAACTCAGTATTTTCTTTTAAAAATAGTTTAATGTAACTGAGAAATTGAAAGTCTGGGGACCTGAGTTGTGCACTGTTTGTGCACTCAGAAGATACAGAATTAAAATAAGCAGGTCAAGCTTTTCCAAGACTGTTCCCAGCTAAGGTTCATTGTCTATGGACTTCTGAAAAAAATATAGAATACTGAAGCCATAATGCAACCCACAAACCAAGTCAACTACCTAGATTACCTAGTTACATTGGAGTAGATTTGCATAAAGGAGAAGGGGGAAAAAGCAAAAACCTTTCTATTAAATCATTGTCATAATGTTGTGAGATCATTTTCCAATGGAGCCAGTGAAGAGTGCTCTATGCTCCTTATTCTCCTAAGTACACACCTTTTTTTTTCCTTTTTTTTTTATGAAAAGCATAAAAAGTTAGTCATACCAAGAAACAATAAACTTTATGGCTGGCATTTTGAAATGCTTTGTATCTAAATTTAAAAAATATGTTTCTACAATAAGTTGGACCTTGTTAATTCTCTAATGTGATCCTGAGAAACATTGCAAGTTAACACATTTAGAAAAATGAGCAAACAAGTCAGGAGTGGGGGAAGGAAAACAGCTGTGAAACGCAGCTCTAAATCACAGTTACTAAAGGCTAAAACTAAGATACAGTTGCTAAAAGTATCAACAGCACAATATTTTACATGCATTCAAAATACCTATCTACAATAACTGATACTTGAATAATTAACATTTTCCAGTATCCTAGGTGAATTGAAGTAAACTCCAATTATTGTGCAGGCAATATTTCTGACCCAGCAAAGTGAAAGCCAGTGATGCAAAATGGAATAACTTACTAAAAGGCTGACAGCCACAAGCTGCTGAGGTCAGGCGCTGCATTCTGGAAACAGTGATGCAGCACCTGTATGGTGGCAGAGCACTTGTGCAGTCAGAGGCATGACAAAACTCACAGGAGCCTTGCATGTCTCAGGCCCTTATGGATCACTGAGAGGAGGAAATGAAACACACTGCATGTCAGGGACAGAATTAAAATGAAGAATTTAAAAATTCATGTATGAAATGATAACAAATGCAAAACTGTGTTGAGCACATTGGGCCAGATACTTGGTCATGCCAAGCTGTGCTCTCACAGGGCTGTACCCAGAGAGGGGGTCTGCAGGCTCTCCTTTCAAGTACATGTCTCAGTTTTTTATACAGTTCTTTAACACCTCAGTTTAAAAATCAGATAGACTTCTAGACACTAAAAAAACATGATAAATATATTGAAACACTCAATTTTCAGTTTATATATAAATTATTTAAATACAGCTTTATGTTACAAACAT